TGCAGGGATGAACAATGAAAAGAGGAACTGAATACAATCTATAAAACACTACACTGGACAAAGAAGTGAAGGAGAGTGCGAAAATACAAGAGATACTTCTATGATACACTTGAAAGTGAAGCAGAACAGACTGCTGGTAGGAGAGATAGAGACCTGACAACAATATATCAAATAACCAGGTTACTATTTGGGAGGGAAGAGATCAACACAGGTGAAACCAATGAAAGATAGTGAAGGAAACCTAGTCAAATCCAAAGAGGAGAAACAAAGGAAACGATAGGCTGACCACTTCAAAACACTCTCCAATCGACCACCACCACCTGCAACTTGTCCAGAAATACCACCAGCTGTTCAGCCACAGAATTACCACTGAACACAAACCCTCCGACAATAGCCGAAGTGATGAACGTCATAAAACTGCTGAATTCCGGGAAAGCAGTAGGACCAGATGGAATTCCTCCAGAAGCACTGAAAACAGATGCAGAGACAACAGCGGATATGCTCACACCACTATTGCAGAAGGTTTGGAAGGAAGGAAAGAAAGAAAGGTTCCTGCACATTGATTGGGAGAAGGACTACCTCAACAAACTCCTAAGTAACGGAGACCTAAGTCTTTGCAAGAACTGACGAAGAATCATGCTCCACTCCTGTCCACCCAAAGCAAGCAGACTGTTATGCCGCATCATCCTGGACAGACTATAAGATGCTCTGGATTCAATATCATGACAGAAACAGGCTGGCTGGATTCAGGAAGTGCAACGCTACGCTACACATCATCATTGAACAGACGATAGAATGGCAGTCAACTCAACTCTACCTCAACTTCATCGATTTTGAAAAGGCCTTTAATCGAGGCATCAACCTAGAAGTAATTTGGAAGGCAGCTGCTTCAACACTACGGTTTCATTGACACAAAAACCTTTATCAACCTCATTCAACAGCTATATGTGGATGCCACATGCCAAGTGATTCACAATGGAAATCTCAGTGACGCCTTTGAAATGAGGACAGGAGTAAGACAAGGTTGCCGTTCACTGTCACCGATGATCTTCCTGATTGTGGTCGATTGGATCATGCAACTAACTGTGAGGAGCGAGTAGATGGGCGAACGCTGTTTGACTGATGAAAAGAGCCTAGAAGATTTTGATTTCACCAACGATGATGATTTGTGTCTTTTGTCGCACAGACTTGAAGATCTATAGGCGAAAACCAACAAGTTGACAGAAGAGACGAGGCAGCGAAGACGGGACTTCCTCCAGGTGAACGTAGAGAAGACAGAGGTGATGAAGATATCCAACCAACGACAACAGACACCAATCACCATCAACGGGAGAAATCTAAAGGAGGAAGTTATCTCTTTCATCTACCTAGGCAACATCGTTTCAACTACAGGCGGCGGCGGCACAGGTGAGAACGTCAAAACCAGGATCGGAAAGACAGCAAGACAGGCCTTCATTAACCTGAAACCAGTGTGAAGATCTACTACACTGTACTCAGCATAAACAACAAGATCCGGATTTTCAACACTAATTCAGTCAAGTAAGTCAGTGCTTCTATCTGATGATTGAGAGATTTGGCGCGTTTAAAAAGCACTTCCAACAAACTACAGACATTCATCAACAGCTGCCACCTATGCTCACTCGATACTGAAGATCAGATGACCAAAATAATAGGAATAAGCGAGAAGGAACTCTGGCTAGCTGGCAACGAACCAACCAACAACCCATCGCCCAACGAATATGCAGAAGAAAGTGGAGATGGGTTTCGGGACATCGCGCGCCAGGCCATCCCTCGAGTGGAAGCCAAAGGGGAAACAACGAGTTGGACGTCCGAGGGGAGGGTGACATGGAGGAGACCATGTGAGGAAGAAATGAAAGCTTGTGGGTAGTCGTGGAGCCAGGTTGATAAGATTGTAGAGAAGAGAGTGAAATGGAGACGTGCTACTAAAGCCCTATGTTCCATTAGAAGCCCAAGGGACAAATAATAAAATAATAATAATTATATACCTTTAACATTTCAAGTTTTGATTATTTCCCTGAAGAAGCATACCAAACCTCCATGCGGAAATTTGGAATTATTTTATTTCAAAAACACGCTGTAACTTACACAAATATAACTTGTATCTAGTGTCAACTTTTAACTCCATGTGCAATAATATTTACGATACTATTCAGTCAAATCTTGATCATGGTTCATATCAGTTCAAAAAGAGTTCGAGCAGACAGACAGACAAAATCAACGTCAAACCTTGTACACAACTGTGTCGGTTCCAGTTGCGTCACTTCAAAGTAGTCTAAGAACAGGCACATAGAAAAAAACTGATATCAAAGTAGATAAAGGTGTATAGGAGGGGGAGAAGGAATTTAAAAGTTAAAGCTTTAGAAGACACCAAACAGTGAACACATCTGAACCATTGTGACCGGCTCTAGGCCACTTTAACTACTGAATTCTATAGTCTCAGGGAGCTTAACCAAGTAGTCTACACCTCCCTCGGCATGTGCAACACAGATGAATGTTTACAACTTAATCAAACGAAATGTCTGTCTTGCCTAGTACCCTTAGCCTGAACTCAGCATTGATCACGCAGTGATCAGGGAGCACCTGTTATGAAAAACTTGTAACCGTTTCATATCTTCGACTTTTAACAGCCATGTATCACAGCCGTATAACTAGTGAGAACGGACTGTAACACAGTATACTCGTCCTTTAATAGGTAGTTGGATATCTCACCGGGTCCACAGATGGTGCAGGTTGGCAAATGCCGCACGAGCCTTCTGTATCCGAGCTCATACGACTTCCCAAGTAGCTGAAATCTTCGAAGCACTCCACTATTTCATTTTCCTATTCCTAAACTGAGAGTAGTTAAGAACCAGTCCTGGAGCATCTTCTTACATTTTTTGTATGATATGATTGAATAAATAAAATAATCAAATTGTCTCCCCCAATCAAACTTAAGCTTCAATCGAGAATTTATCGGCTTTTAAAACTTGACATTATCAGTTCCCGGTAGGTATTAAAATGCAGAATGGTTGTTTCACAACGTCATATCAGTCGATTTGATAGATGGGTATGGAGGGTGGGGACAGTTACACTGAGAAATATCACGTATGTACCAAGTCAGTAGTAGCATAAAGCATAATTAACCACTTTTTTTCATCCTAGAATTCACTTTCCATTACGTGTAGACTTGAGTAAATTGGACATTTTCTTCGTTCATAAAACAAAGTTAACTCATATCAATACGCGTGTTTATGAACCACTCTACGAGCCATACTCATAGTACGAAGGCGTATGGTACTACTATGTCGCGCACACTGACTTAGTTGGAGTAGGGTTCGAACTCACGATTCAAGTGGATGAACTAAAGCTACACTAATTTGTTCACCAGGTGGGCTCTCCTTCCCACTATATACTTTATAGTGGTTATTGGTCTCTACCCTTGATTCCACCTAGAAATCCAATGATATTTCCCTAAAGAAACATCAAAATTGATTGCTCCTTTGTCATAAATTTATTCAAATTTGTATTTGTAGCACTGGCGTTGGATATTGTTGTAACGATCTACTGAGATTCTCACATTTACCTTCGTCCGCGTCTGATTATCTTTCATTTCTCAGCAACTGAAGAAACCATAGTCATCAAGCAGCACAACCAGTTATTCACCACTATATAAGACTTTTGTCAAATGAAGTGGAACATACATTCAATGATCAACACTAGTTGGATGGCGACTATAACAACAATAATAACCAGAAGTTCATTAAAACATTCAAAAGCTGTCGACAAAAAAATAGAGTAATACAGCACTAAAACTATGATTGAAAAGGGTAAATAAAGATCACATCGGCTCTTATCAAAGTGGGGCTTTTGCAAACCAACCACCAAGTTGTCTGGACACAGAGGGATTGGCGTAGTCATCTGACGTGATTGGCTGACAAAATCAATATAGAACATCGCATACAAGTGCATCGGTTCTAGTTGCCACACTTTACAGAAGATGGGCAGATGGGTAGAAAAGGAGTGATATCAGTGTAGATGAATTTGTGTGAGAGAATAAACAACCTGAAAATAAAGGTTAGTGCGAATACTCAAGCTTTAGAAGACATCAAGGAGTGAATACATCTGTCCCACTGTGACTAATTTTCAGCCATGTCACCAACAGTCCTCAACAACTGATTCTTTTCGTTTCGGGGACCGCAGCGAGGCAGTCTACATCTCTCCATATGTTTCAGGTTAACGGTCACGGACTTAATTGACTGATCCCATATCTCGGTCTGGCCACCCCGAACCCTTTTCCAACCTAATCCAACTTCCCCTAGAATGGCATATCGAGGTAGGTGGTGGCTCGGCATTGGCAGTACATGTCCAAGCCATTTCAGCCGATGAAGGTTCACAACCTTATCAATTGATTTGCCTATTTTGACTAGTATCTTTCGCCTGACCTCATTATTGTTCATAATGATTCCGTCACACGCTAGTTATGTTACGAAGACATCTGTGATCAAAACGCAGTAATAGCTTCATGTCTTCTACTTTTAGTGGCCATCTCCCAGCCATACAGTTTATTCGTCCTTTGATAGATAGTCGCAACAGGTAGTGCAAGTTGGCAGATGGCGAACGCGCCTTCGGTATCCGAGCTGAGATTTCGTCAAAAACCAGTCCGTCCGGCGGGTTGATGCAACTCCTCAAGTGAAGTAGCAGTTGACACATTCCGCCACTTCACTCCCTGTCGTTAAGCTGGAAGTCGTTGCACACAAGTCCCGGAGCACCAACTTACATTTGGCAGGTGCGAAACGCATGGCAAACATACACATCTCTGCTCAAGGTGTTCAAAGACCCTGCATTTCGTCAGTGTCTTCACCTAGCAAGACAATCATTTGAGGTAAAGATTATCAGAGTGGCAGTATTTGACTAGCTGACTTGGAACGATAGTTTATCACTAAGAGTTACTGATGAAAAGAAGTAACAAACAAGTCGAAAGAAAACAAAAAAAAACTAACTTGATAATTTTTCCAGGCTTCTGCTTTCTTAGCCATTTGTTCAGCTTCAGCTCGAGCTATCGCCTCAAGTGCTTCAGCTTCTGCTCGACCACGCAATCGAATTGATTCTGCCTCTGCTTCAGCCTCAGCAGTTAAACGCAGACGATCAGCTTCTGCAAGTCGTTCTAGACGAAAACGTTCCGCTTCAGCTGGTTTCCGAACAGTGGCGTCTAAATGACGCTCTTGTCGTAAAATTTCTAATTCTTCTACTTGAATTTGTTGAGTTTTTTCAACAACAGTGATTTGCATTTCTTCCTCTTTAATTTGTTGTTTCACTTTAGCCGCCTGTTAGTTCCATTGCATTTTTTTTCACGGTGTTTACAGAAAGGTAAGCAAAAGAAAAGTTAGGGAAAACGTCGTACATTTTCGAAAATACTAACAAAAAAACAGCAGAGATATGTGAACTTGGAAACAACAAACTCTACTGGTGAGTGAAAACTTTTACCAAACGTTAGTAGTAACATGTCTTTATATGCAAGCGATTTTTGATGTTGTTAAACCTCTATTCATTCCAATCTTATTAGTATGATATGCATGCTTACACATCCAATAGTTAGACGTATACAACTACTCTATATAAACCTTCCACACTGAAGCAGTTTGACAGCTCTTTTTAAGTTCACTTACCTCCTATCTCTGTAGTACTACTCGTATTCACTCACAACACTAGGGTGTATTCTGAAATAATGCATATAGTTATAGTTGACCAGTTGAGAAAGATACTCTTCAACATCGATTTCGGTGATTTGGAGGCATTCTATGCATGTTGTTTCACCGGTTTCCACACTGATAGCATACTGCTAACACTAAGAATTGACTGGGAAAAAGTGGAAAGTTAGTAACTTGGTGACATGTTACCATGATATCAGTGACAGTCCCAGGAATCATGCAACTCACCGGCTTCAAATATTATCACGCGTGGACGAAAATTAAAAGCATAAGCGATCCTGTTTTACTTTTTTCTTGTCATCTCGAAATTGAAATACACTCAGTAACTTTGTACACATTCTTGCAGTAGGTGATTAGCCAAACCTATTGTATGAGGGGTAGCGATACTACTTGGTTGTCCAGACCTTGATAGGTGGGGCGGGGTTCGAATCCGTGGCCAAATGGTTGGTTATCATCTTAAACCACTGAGCCACAGCTCCTTCTCATATACACAGTGGAAATGAAGAGAAAGTCAAGAATCGCCTTTTGCTTCACTTCTGTTTTATTTTGACTATCCATCTTACGATTATGATTCTTGTCTAATGTTCTGTCTATCATAAATCTACATTGTTATCATTTTATTTGTCAGGAGAATATCTCGACAACCAACTATACCAAGTCTTTTAGTATGTCCTAAACACTAGTGAATAACAGATACTCAAAACACAGTCCAGATGTTCCATACTTTGCACATTATGTGATGTCACTCGTTTCTTTCGCTTAAACAATCAGTCCGGTCAGCCCTTAGCAATATGGGACCTGGCACAACTGGCGTAACGGTCCTACTTGTCATACTTGTTATCATCAAATCAAGATACAAGGTGCGAAGAGGAAAGATGAGCATACAGATAGGGAAAATGCAATCAAATATCGTAGAAAATCATGAGAAGAGAAGAAATGCGATAAGATGCCTAGATGGAAGATAAAGTATGTCAGTCAGATAGATAGACAAAATCAATGTCGCCACACTTTACAGTAGTGTGCAACAAACAAGCGAATAGAGAAAGAATGATATCAAAATAGAAAAAGGTGTATGGGAAGCGAGGGAATTTAAAAATGAAGGCTAATCAAAATATTTAAGCTTTGGAAGACATGAAAGAATGAATACATTTCCGCTATTGTGACCGGTTTTCAGTCATTTCACAAAGGGTTCTCAACTACTGATTCCTGTCATCTTGAGAACCCAAGCAAGGTAGTCTACACCTCCCTACATAGATCAAATCAGGAGTCACATGCTTCATCAACTGGTACCAAGTCTTAGTCTGATCAATGTGCGGATGTATCTGGGTCACTAGGATCGATTCTAAGCAATATCATCTAAATGGTGCCAAAAACTAATCGAGTATTTTGCACGTTTGCCAAGATTTTGTTAGTCACTGACTCATAAGAGTTAATTAGACTTCCAAAGTAAGCGAAGTGGTTAATCTGTACACCCTAAATTATATACATTTCTGAGATGCAGTTGATAGATAATTTAATCCGTTTAAGGAATTTTTTTCAGAATAACACGCATACACTTTAGCATGATCCATTTCGTCCTTTTCCTAACCAATTTTAAATTAGGTGTTAGTTGGATGGAAGCAATCGAAAGCCTGGCTTCCTGCTTGTTGTGACTCATCAATAAGGGGTATCTGCAACCTCGAGAGAAGTGATATCGTCGCACGGAACTTGAACCCGTATCAACCAGTGCTGCAGTCAGAGACGTCACGTTTTTATGTAACACCATCTCATTGGCTTCAACCTATCACCCGAAACGATTTCGCACTCATCTCCAAATTTCGTGATGAAAAACCAATACACAGTTAGACTTCTTGAAATAGCACAACAATCTGCTAACATTATCGATGACTATTCGTTCCAAATCTTCATATGGGAAGGGAAACAACTGTTCAGTGAGGAAATCAACTTGTTTACATTGATTGACCACTGAAAAGTAACTGGTTGCATGTTATCCAGTGCTAAGCGCTGACCGAATTCTGTCGATCATTTTCTAATGTGATCATCAAGTAAGAAGACTCAGTACCATGGTGCAGTTTGATTGATGTTAGTTGGTTAGGGGCAATTAGGTGTTAACTTTTTCAGCTGTGCGGTTTAGTTATAAAGCTTTCAGGTTAGTAGAACGACAATTGGAGCGGTTTTTCACCATTCTAGGAAATTGGCTTTTAACAAATGGGTTGCAGGTTCGACCCCGCCCCACTAAGTAAGCCTTAAGCAGCCAGTAAATGTCCCTGGCTTTCACAAACGCATTACCCTCAAAAAAACGAGCCGAAATATGTGTGCAAACAGTGATAACACAAAATGCAGAAAGAATCAGTTACATTCCACGTCATCATGATAAGCCAGTTATGATATCTATTCGTGTAGGTAACTGCATTCTGAAGTTTCCGAAGATGATATTGCTTAGGAAGACAATGATAAGTTAACTACTGAATCACCTGGCTCAGAAAACATGAACAGTAACGAAGTAGGCTACACTTTTATCATGTAATGTCTTCGAAATCGAACTCATCAATTCCAGTTTACCTTGTTTTCCTGTTGTGCATTTACTATTATCGACAAGTACGTTTTATATGCTTGCTGAACCATAATTTCGCACTCCCCCCCTCATATTTTTGCGCTGAGTGGACTACTATAGTCGAACTTACGTATCCTGTTATACTTGCTTCCTCCATTCTCTGCAACAAGTTTCCTTCAGGCTAGACAAAAACCTACCAATAGCTAATCATTAACATTACATACCTTCTGATTACATCAGAATAATTGTAAACTATGGTATACATATAATAAAGGTAAAAACAAGATTCAAAGGAAAAGCAAACACCCACCTACCTGTAATTCATACGCCAATTCAGATTCAGCTTTACGTGCTTGTACTTCTTTTTCATAACTAGCATTTTGTAGTTCGAAATCCCGTTTTGATTTTGCAATTTCAATATCATTTGAAAGTCGTCCAGCAACACGTCGTTTTTCAGCCTCAGCCTCTCTGATCCCAGCATCACGACGGGCTTCAGCCTCACCGATACGTGCATCACATTTAACTTGTGCTGTTCTCGCTAAACCAAGAGAGTTTAAATAACCCTAGATATGAGACGTACAAGAGGGAGGGAGACAGGGGTGGGGATGGAGGATAGCAAAAAACAACACTAATCGAATAACTGAAATATATAACTTGCCATTATTACTCAATACATTATAGTTCACAAAAGTATATATGAAGAGTATGAGGTTTTTATTTGTACGGTAACAGTGAAACTACCAATAAAATTCAGTTTGGGGGGTTGTGGGGGTTTATTGACTTCAGGTTAGTATTCATCGTGAACTGACATCAATTGGAGGAATATTGAAGACTTGAGAGCACTGGACAGCTGATTCGTCCTAGTATGGGACTCCTCAGCAGTGCTCACACACAACCTCACCAGGGATCGAGCCCACGACCTTCAGGTTTCGTGACCAGCATGTTACCACTGAGACACTGGATCGGAATCCAATGGTCTATATTTGGACTCAGCGGCTCAGTGGTAACATGCTGGCCACGGAAAATGAGGATCCTAGGTTCGATCCTTGGCGAGGTCATGGGTACACATTGCTGGGGGTCCCACACTAGGACGAAATAGTAGTCCAGTGCTCCCAAGTTTCTAATGTCCCTTTGATTGATGTCAATCTATGATGAGTACCAACTTGATATCTACAAAGTGTTTATGCTTAATTATTCCAACTCAGGAGCCGATGAGGGGAATGCACAAAGGGTTAACACCGTTCCGATTACGGTTGTGATGCTTGGTCAGTCATTATAAAAGTTAAAGATGCTGGAGTGTTGATACATTCTAAGCACTGTCAGAATACAGTAAAGAAAATAAACAATCATTCGACAATTTTGAGGCTGGATATAGATTAGCAGATTACTTAAAGTTGACAAAATGGTTAGTGACACAATGAGATCAGATCGACTTACGCATTTGACCACTGGTTTAAGTATACTAACTCGTTGCCTACTTCTGAAACAGCAGCATTCGCCTCACCGATAAACTAGATGCGACAAAAAATGTCTGAAAGAAATCTAATTATTATTATTATTTGTCCCTTGGGTTCTTAGTGGAACATAGCGTTCAGTAGCGCGTCTCCATTTCACTCTCTTCTCTACAATCTTATCAACCTGGCTCCACGACTACCCACAAGCTTTCATTTCTTCCTCACATGATCTCCTCCATGTCACCCTCCCCTCGGACGTCCAACTCGTCGTTTCCCCTTTGGCTTCCACTCGAGGGATGGCCTGGCGCGCGATGTCCCGAAACCCATCTCCACTTTCTTCTGCATATTCGTTGGGCGATGCGTTGTTGGTTGGTTCGTTGCCAGCTAGCCAGAGTTCCTTCTCGCTTATTCCTATTATTTTGGTCATCTGATCTTCAGTATCGAGTGAGCATAGGTGGCAGCTGTTGATGAATGTCTGTAGTTTGTTGGAAGTGCTTTTTAAACGCGCCAAATCTCTCAATCATCAGATAGAAGCACTGACTTACTTGACTGACATTAGTGTTGAATATTCAAAAACACATTGACTTTAAAAAGTTAAAATGCCGAAAGAAATATCGACTTGAAGCAACTAAGATGGGGACTGTGTGTAAGACATTGGTGATGGGTAGTGGCTAACAGTAGAATCCAGGACGCGCGTTTCGTCTTATTTGGGACTCATCAGCTGGATGTACCTGCCTGGGTGAGTGATGTTCTCGCCAAGATTCGGACTCGGGACCGACCGCTCCAAAAGCCAGAGCGTTAGCCACTAGACCACCGAGCCACAACACACCAAAATAATTCAGAAAATTAAGGGGCAGATCTAAACAACAAAAGGTCCAGACTTATCCAACCTATCGAAATCATATTCATCTGAGGATCGTTGGTTTAGGTACTTGACTTTGAACCACTGAGTCATGAGTTCGAACTGCGCTCCACCCACTGAGGTTTGGGCAGCCAGTTAGTATCATTAGCTTTCACGTAGTAAGCGTGGCTGATTGCCTACTGCATGAATGTATATGACATTACCAAGTGCAGTCAAATTTTTTTATCCCAAAAAAATACAAACGTTGTGAGGAGACTTCACGAGCACTTAGTTCAAAACATCGAAATCAGTGAAGACCTTAGAGGTGTTGCATTATCCGAGCTGGATAATTTAGATGGTGACGCGTTCAACTAAGAAAACGCAATGCCATCAAAACCATCTATCCAAACTATGCAGGCCTCTCAGCCAAAAGTAAAAAAAATGAAAATAACACGTTTTGCGAAGTGGTAGGAACCGAAGATGGTGTTGGAAAAGCATCTCAAAAAATGAAGCTGCTCTGTCAAGACAGAAGAACACTCATTTAACAATGATCGATAGTTGTGATAAAGAAAATATCATATAATTTTAGTATGTAACACTTGATAAGTTATTATTCAAACAAACATATTTCTCTCATTTATAAAATGTCTAGTCGCCGTCTATCTCGTCACACAATGTTGGCCGAAGAAGGCTCAGGCTGGAAAAAGGCTCGAGGCGGTCAGACTAAAACATGGCATCAATATATGAAGTCTGACTGTTGGTTTGAGCCATATGGGGCGATGCAGACTAGCCGGTTGGGGTCTGTGGGACAAGATAAACCAGTGGTTGGAGACTCTAGGTGGCTCAGAACCGATGTTAGTGGCACAGACGTATACACACTTATTCTCATCTTAACGACGCTATACCGAATCTCACCATCTTCTCATTTCTCCTTTCTCTCTTTGAGTGCTTTACATTTCTTTCGACTAAACTTTCTTTTCTTGATCTTCTACTTCACTGACTTTTTACTTGATGTACTGATTGAGCTGTGGCAACTCGGACCGTTACACAGTAATGCCTGGTCCTATGTTGATTTGGATGGATGGATGATACAACAATTCGAATCTGGGCGCGGTTCAAATTTTCATTTCACCTTTAATCATCACCCAGTGTAAATACTAATCTGCCAAACCACGGCTATTTCAGATAGTCAAAACGATAACCAATATGATGCTCCCCCTCTCATTCTAATTCAGTTAGGTTTGGATTGGGATGAGTAGTCCTAACTAGGCAGCCAGTATGAATAAGATCAACCGGTAGTAAGGCGTCATGAATTCACATGGTAGTTGGGCAAAACCCTTGGTAATTGAAGTGAAATAAAAATCTGGTCAGCAGTGGGACCTCATACCTCAGCTGGTAGAGCATTGAGTCGGAAACCTGGTGGTCGCTAGTTCGAATCCGACCACGGTCCAAACTTTCATTTCACCTCCAATCATCAGTTAGCACATATACTAGTCTGCCAAACCATGGCTATCTTAAATAGTCAAAATGATATATATATATATATATATATATATATATATATATATATATATATATTAAAGATTTTCGGAACTTAAACCTGCTTCTTTATGCCCTCTTATAATATAGATTCACAAAAAATGTCATTTTTAGAAACGTGTTGAGAGTTACATGATCGATAGCTGTGTACCATATGACAATTTATGAAAAATCACAGAAATAGGTAGAAAGTGGGAACATTTGTAATTCAGTAATAGCCAAGAAGACGCACTGAAGATTTTTATTTAAAAAAGAAGCTTGAGGAGGAAGAAGACGACTGGAGTTGAGATAGGAGGTGAATAGTACATCGACTGACTAACTTGCCAATCTGCCTATTAACATAAAAGACCCAACCTGATAGTCAATTCTTAGTGTTGTTTCAATCAACGGAAAAGATATACAAATATTATGTAATTGTACATAAGGTGTACAGGTTTAAGAATTGTTACACTGAAACAATATATTACGGCGACTCATCTAAAAAACATGGTCTAACGGTTCTATTTGAGGTATGATAAATTTAACGAATATATGTTTCTTAAGAAGTGCACTCTAAGGCAGTGGAATACATGAAACGGTAACAGGATTTTGATCACGTGTATCTTCGTAGCATAGCTTGTGTTCGGTGTAATCAACGCGAGAGCAGTACTGAGGTTATGCAAAAGGTACTAGGCAGGATAGGCAAGTCGATTTATGAGGTTGTGAACCTGAGTCGACTGAGATGGCTTGGATATGTATTGCGCATGCCAAGCCACAGCTTACCTCGCCGTGCCATGTTATGGGAAGTTGGAAAAAAGTTCACGATGGCCAGACCGAGATATGGGATCAGTCAATTAGGTCCGTGACCGTTAACCTGAAACATATGGAGAGATGTAGACTGCCTCGCTGCGGTCCCCGAAACGAAAAGAATCAGTTGTTGAGGACTGTTGGTGACATGGTTGAAAATTAGTCACAATGGGACAGATGTATTCACTCCTTGATGTCTTCTGAAGCTTGAGTATTCGCACTAACCTTTATTTTCAGGTTGTTTATTCTCTCACACAAATTCATCTAAACTGATATCACTCCTTTTCTACCCATCTATTCTTTGTATACTACTGTGAAATGTGGCAACTTAAACCTATGGACTTGTATGCGGGATTCTGAGTTGATTTTGTCCATCTGACTCCAAGGCATGACCATTGAAAGTAAAGTTTCAAAGTGACATCTTGTTCACTGCCTTAGGAAAGCACGTTTCATTAAAACTTGCATCATTAAGTAATCTCAGCTTAAAGTACACCAAATATACACAGTAAGACTGTTATCATTATTTTTGTTTAAACGCGTGAAAATTTTTGGGGAAAAAACATTTAGTACATACCTCATCATCTTTAATATCCTTCAGTGTATAACTGACTACACTAATACCCATATTCACTAAATCAGAACTGGCTACTTCAAAGACAGCTTTAGAGAATTTTTTCCTATCTTTGTATATTTCTTCAACAGTCATATTGCCCATGATGGCACGTTGATGACCTTCAAGTGTTTCTTGAGCTATTTCACGTATTTCATTCTCTGATTTGCCTAGAAATTGTTCACATGCAGCTGCTAACATCTCTCCGTTGGTTCCATTTATTTTTACCTGATTAAAAAAATCGAGGAGAAACAGGAAGATAAAAAGACTGCAACAAGAAAAATATCAACAATATTCTGATTAAATAAATTAGTGTCGATTCTAAGATGACTAGAAGCTTCGGTTTGAGAAGCAATAAGAAAGTGTAAATCTGTAAATATGAATAAATTTGTAAGCAAGATTATGAACTATATCTATTGTACGATGCTTAAAATTCGACCTATTTATATAGGAGCCGATTAGAAGGAAGCACTGACTGGAACTGGATCTTGCAGTTGTTAGGTGTCATCAGTGACGTGTACCTGAAACTCAGAGTTATGTCAGTTAGTGCTAGAGGTCAGCGACTTTACCAATAAACCATTTAGGCCGCGATTACCTCACCCCCCACCTCAACTAACGGAATGCCGTATGAATTTATGGATTTTCGACCAATAGATAAATGATATTTCAGTTTCAACTTTGAAATGCACTTAAGAAATGCTAGCCCATCAAGCAGTTATTCGGTTCATAAAGAAATGGGATCTAGAATTACTGTGTAACGGTCCAAGCAAGAATGTATAAAGTAATGAAGAAGAAGAAAGCAGTAAAAAGTGGTAGAAAGTCATCAGAGAGTAAGGAGTGAGAAAATAATCGAATTCGATATAGCGAATAAGATGAAGATAGTGTGTAGATGCACATATGCCGTTGTCATTTAATTTGATGCACATCATCTACAGTCTAAAACAGGGCGATTTCGGCTGCCACGCCAACGCCAATCGGGCTATCTACATTTCTCTACACGATTCACATTAACACTCAATGAATTCATGCAATGATGCCATGTTTTACTCTGGTCATTTCTAACCTTTTTCCATTCTGTACCTACTTCAGCTAGCATTGCGCGACGAGTTAGACGATGTTTACGCATACGTAACGCATACCCCAGGCACCTCAGTTGATAAAGGTTCACAACTTTGTTAACTGACTTCCCTCTTGTCCCTAAAACTAAACGCCTGACCCACAACCTATGCTAAGAAGACAACGGTAGTCGAACACCTGAGGCTTTCTCATGTCCTCCAACTTCAGTGGCTATGTTTTGCGGAATAGTACACTCAACCTTTATTAGAAAAACGAATATCAGGGCGACACCATAAATGCTGCAATTTGAAAAAAGACAAGCGAATTTTTCGTATCCTTGCGGATATTTCGTCGGTCACTGACTTACTACGGCTCATACGATTTCCAAATTAGCCAAAGTAATCAACGTATTCTACCATTTTACTTTGTATTATTACACAGGAGACAAACAATTTGCACTTGAGTGCCGAGGAAAAATCCCAAACTGCCGCTTAAGGTGTCCAGTAGACTTCGCATCTTGTCAGCGTCATCGCCTAACGGAAATATATGACCTGCGAAGTATAGGTCTATTAAGGAGTTTCCAGTGACAAGATCGATTCCTGTAGCCATATGATGAAAGGTAGACATTCATAAGTACATTTATGACAAAGTTGAATAACGCACACCACTTAAAGTATACAACTCATCCGACAACCTATCACAGGCCGTAACGCGCCCACTGGAGTTTGAGTACAGGGCATTTAAAAACGTGACATACCTACCTGGCACTCTTTCAATGAGAGACAGTCATAAAACCTCTCGATAGAGTTGAATGCCACCTTCAGATCGAGATATAGAACTAGTTTCGGTAAGTGTGGTTGTGTTTCAGAACCTTGCGGGCGGTGAATAACTGACCGATACACCCACGACTAGGTCTGAGATCCACCTGTTTCTCTCAGCTTTCTTGTTTGCGAGGTTAACTCAGACGTCTGCTAATTATAGAACCTAGGGTCTTAGACACTTCGTCGAGTTGACTCCCATGCGGTTGTCATAAGAGAATTTCCTTTCACGAAGACTAGGACAATCAGTGATTGAGACCAGTCAAAGAGTATCACAAGCAATCTCCATACACTAGCTAGCACTTCAGTTAACTTGACCAATCTTTCACAACAACTATCCTTAAATACCTCCGGTATTAGCTTTAGCGACCCTGCTGCGTTTACTTGCGTTTGCTCACAGTCATCTCAACTATGGCAAGAGTTGGAGGCCCTACCTCCATAGTCAATTCAGGATCCGACTGTATAGAAGACACTCCCCGACTTGATTGTCTAGGAAGTTGACTTTGATGTAGCAGAAATCCCTATCACTTACTGAGGTTTATGCGAAGATGTATCACTGGTATTCGTACAACAGTGTAGATAATGGCCTAGTACATAAACCTGCACAGGATTGCCGAATTACGCATTTCGTGACAGTTTACAGCTACAGGTGATGAAAAAACTATTTTCTGTATCAAACACACTCAAATTTTCGGATATGATTTTGACATGATCATAACCGAAGAGCAGATGCGCCAGTATTCAGTGGTCAGAACTGAAACATCTACGAATTTTTACGATGAACTGTTAACAGCTAAAGCACTATTGAAAGCAATGAACTTACTTATTTTCATTGTTTCATTTAAAACATAAGCTTGTTACAGCATGGGCACCAAAAATGGCACTAGATAAAATAATGCAATAGCATCATGAAAAGTTAAAAAGATATATAGGGACGGAATTAAAACAAACTAACTTGTGCAACACCAGTTACTGTTATGGGAACACCTAGCTGGGTGTAAATTCTTGGGCTTTCTATGATTAGAGTCATCGTATTTAACGGCATTCTTCATTTGATTGAAATCATGATGGGATATGGAAAAAAGTAGACAAGACAAATTATTGGATGATTAAACCTTCTTAGAAAATAGGAGACTAGCTATAGAACACACGATACCATAGATTAATGCTATGAAATTTATCTACTGATTATATTTAACCTACAAGATTCCAGTGACTGGCAAAACCACAACATAGTACACGTGAGGTTGTGTTGAAAAAAGGCTTCATGAGTTACAATACATGATATCCTGCTGCTTTGCATCATTTCAGGTTCGACAAGAGTTGGAAGACCGACGACGATGTCCCGCTCAATTGTATGCTGAAGTGTGGCCTTGGGTCTTGAATTGTGCCTAACTATTCTAACCAAAGTCCTAGCTGCCTGTCATGAGAATTCCTTTACGATGATAGCCTTTTTCATACCAGCAACCTTAATAAGCCTAAGTAACTACCGAGTATTACATAATGCTGACTTCTTCAGCATCTCTTTTGCTTTCACCATTGACCAATGCTGGCGATCATTACGAAGAATCTCAGTGGATTTACGTTTAAGCTCCTTCCGCTCTTCATTGCGTATAGTCAGTTGGAATGAGTTATCGTGTGGAATACACGAATAACTAGATGTTTCCCATCTAAATACACACTGTTTTTATCTTCTGATCAAACAAAGGCTTCAGTGCTGCCTGCTTTTTACGACCAGTAAAGTGAAAATATACACGTACCTCTGGTGATACGTGACCGGAGTCCAAACAAGTATTCCAGAAAGAGCGGCAAGTTTCTCCAACGATGACATAGAAACATGATTTATCTGTATTCATTGTTGGGTTAGCGTCGACAGAAGCTAACTGAAACTTTCCTTATACTTGAAGTCAGCGTTAGTCAGAAATAAGTTGTCAGAACAAAATTGCAAGAGACGATCACTGCTGTCGGTTTGTTGGCTTAGAATACAGTAGAAACTTCTCGGATGCTCTTCCGATTGGCTCAATTTTTTCATTTGAGTGTGGAGACCGCCTGCTATTACGACTAAATCTAAATGTTTTACCGCATGCGGCACAATTGACAGCTTTTGATAGGATTAATTCTTTGCACAGTCCAAACTACAACCGATGAGCGCGTAGGTGGAGATTACAATTGCCATCGAAAAGTCTCACGACTTTCTAGTTCTTACTAATCCTGAGGGAGTTGTGGAGATTTGGAACGAAACAGCTGTCCAGTGCTCCCAGGTTTCCTTTGTTCCTCCAACTGATGTCAGTCTACGATGAATAACAACTTGAAATCTTACTAATCCATCTAGTAGGATAGCACAAAGATGACTGTTGACTGGTATACAGTCAAGAAGTGCATTTCCTGGTCTATAAGTAAATGCTATACCTACACCAGCAAGTTTAAGGGAGTCATCGAATGTCCAGACAGTTGTAAGGTGAATTTCGCGGGTTCACCGCATTGACCAGGCGACGGCAATTGAGTAACCAGGCTCGGGTTTTGTATACGCATCTCAGAAATAGCATACATTTATGGCTCGAGATTCTAGAGTCCTGGCGAGCGATATTTGTTGTCCTATTTGGCATAAGGTTTGGACGCCAAAGGCTTCAATGTGAGGCTGGCAGTGGGGTTTTAAGAGACTAGGAATGGTTTCTCGATGACTTGAATCACTAGCAATTGTCGTAGGGTGTTAAGGTGAGGAAGCTGTGAGGCTAAATACTGGTATCAGGAAGTGAAGGGGAGGGAGGAAAAAAAAATTAAGGAACGTATGTTGTTTCTAACTGGGTTTTGTATATTGCGGGCAATGTGTGGGTGGTTACTACCTCTCGGCTGCCCATATAGGGAAGTTGCTTCTCTAAAGTATCCGAAAGAGAAAAAGGAATAACCTTGGGTGAACACAGAGTCCATGAGACATCTGCTTGAAGCTGGTCACACACCGTTTTTAAAAAAATTTTGGATTGAAATTTTATCGTGCTAACGTCAAACAAGAAGAAACTAAACCATCTACAGATGAATTTTGTAGGGTAAGGAATTAGGCAGTATATTTGGTGGTGGTATGAAATGCATCAAAAGAATTCTTACACTGCTACTCGAGTTCATTAGACTCAGAGTCCTGTCGGGAATATCGAAATGCACTCAGCAATCAAGTGCATATTCGTGCAACAGATGGTGAGCCACGCTTATTGCGTGAGGGCTAATGATACCACCTGGCTACCAAGACTTCGGTACGTGGAGGAGGATTCGCACCCGGGACCCATTATTTGGAAGCCAACTCCCCAAACCAGTGAGCCACACCTCTTAAGAGGACTGCTATCTGCAGATGTTAGGCCTACCAATGAGCCTCCAGTGAAGAAGACCCTTTGTGAGTTCGAATGGGAAGAGAAACCTCTACACACGTCTATGAAAACATTAAGTAAATGGGGAAAGTGAACATCAATGACAGACAATATTCAATGTACACAATCCATCTGATACTTTGTAGTGGTCTCTAACACGCCTACGGGTGTTCGGACACAGAGCTTTTAAGAGCTACTTATTTGTCAGGCATCCTCCTTTCAGTGAGGCAATGTCATGTGCATTTTTCGATAGGGTTAGAAGCCATGTTCGAATCAAGAAATACGGTTAATAGGCACAAATTAACACCAATATTAAAAAAATATGTGCAGGTTAGAAACTTCTAATGTACGTAAAAGCACGTATTGTGTATGCTGACCTACAAAAGATGATTCCGTACACTCTTGGCCGCAGAAAGGCATATAAACCCATGGTGACCGACTCTTGGTTTGACTACTGTAAGGAAATATACCACAGAAAGTTGTGATTTCCGAAACTGTATAGCTTAGTCTTCTTCGTAAAAAATGTATCCTACTTGCGTTGCTATTTATTTACTTAGATTAATCATAGGCAACCCTGCAGGATTTACTCAGAGCTTGTGTACTTATTAAGTTCATTCTTATGGCGGACGACAGAACTACCTCCAAAAAGTACTACAAGAATCGAAAGTATATATTTAAAGACTCCTTATTCTCTACTAGTAGATACATAGCACTATTACCCCGGGTCATTTTTAGGTGTTATACTCAAAAGCTTTTCCCATCACCCTTTACACTACAGTGACGAAGGCAACAGGTGAATAAAACTTGATCTGGCGCATGTACTGATAAAGAAGGCCGAGTTACGCTTAATGTGTAATAACTTGTGGTACTAACCAGTTGACTAGAACGAAGTGGGTAGAGTAGGTACGGAACATGGAACCCACAGTTTAGGAATTAGGTGCTAATGAAAACGAACCGCTTAAGGCTACAAAAACTGAGAATATCAAAACACTAAGTGTTATACTATGTACAACACAGTACTTTAGACTGAGTAGTTAAATCACAAGAAAAACGTACCTTTCGATCCGCTGTATACCTGGCCACACAAATACGCGTCCACCAGGAACCAACAGAGGACGTTTGTGGAAGCAGCCTATGAAGGCACACGAAAATCAAGCAAAGAAAAACATACCAGAGACTACCATTGCTTCATTTGGGCCACAGGTATTAAAACCCCAACCCATTGTCCGATAGGAAAATTTCGACTCAAGATTGCTTCAGACCTCAGTATGAAAGATATTCTGTTCTATAATGACTTAGAGATTAAAATTCTGATCAACGAAGTGTATTCAGCTATTACAAAGATATGGAAATGAAAAACAGTATAAAACTCTAGCTTACGACTAAGTCAGTAAAGAACTCTTTGAAGTAACTTATGACTTTCAAGAATGCAGAGACAAAAATGGAATACAAACACAAGAAACCCGACTTTAAATGTCCCTCATCTTAAGGTTATTTACAATGAACCCAATCGGTCTATTCAAACAAAATACGACCACAACAGTGGGAGTATGAAAAATGGGTAGTTCCCAAGTCATTTCTTCTGGTCCACTGGTCTCGATTCTTGATTTTAGGTGTCTCATCTGCTTTTATCTCTCCTCGCAGCGAAATAAGCATGTAGAACCCTAAATTTTGATTCCCGAACTTCAGAAGGTTGAACCACAGGCATCTTCCTTATGATATATGGAATGTATACCCATAAATATTTCGAGAAAAACCTGCTGGTTATACCTCACACCTGAAGGAAACCGTAGCCATCCTAGAAAGGATCCAGAAAAGAGCTGCAAAGTAACTGAGCTGTGGTGCAAATCTTAGATGAATCTCTTGGTCGTTCTTGAATTGCGGCCGGCACAACACACGGGGACTGGGTTGGATATAAGCATGATCTGCCACACCACCCATGATGGTCTTCGCGGTTATGCGCTACTTCAAAACTAATCGGAAACCCTACCTAGGAAGCCATCCCCTAGTAGTAGATCGTGAGTGGGAATATATGAAGGTCCTTGCTAACTTGTTTGCAGTTGAAGCATGTAAACTATGAAGCGCTCTTCCTGGATGAGTTGCTTGAGCCACCTTTCGACACTCTGAAGAGGCGGTTAGATGAACACTCGGTGTCCTCTGTCACAGGTGGGCTGTGCTCAAGAAGTTTCGCTACCCCTAATAGACCGTGAGTAGCATCACTAACTACAGATATCTGATTGTTTCGCCCTTAATAATCTCGGTCCTTACAGCTTTCTTGGAGCTTGGAACAAATAGTGACCATTCCAAGCAGAGAACGCATTGTATTTAGGCGGAAGTAGAACTCATAGATCTTTTATCCGCTACTTCTACAACACGAAGTTTCGAGCTTTAAAGTTCAAAGAAAATTATTCTCTGCGGGTTTGCAATTTCAAATTGCTAAATGAGCCTGTTAGGGGGCTATGGGTTGTTGGCAAGAAAGGTGGATTTGTCCTTCTATGTCTACCTATGCCGCTGCACTGGCACAGGAGAATGGTAGAAAAGGTGGATGGGTTCTCCCCGAAGATGAATGGTGGGTGAGTGTAATCAGGCAAAAGAAGTCAAATAACAAAGCGGATGAAAAGTGGGAGATTCAGAGACAATTAAGAGGAAGATAGTGGAGGGACACCAAAGGCCTAATGAAGTGGCGTTGTCTTACTGTTCTCGACATTTTGTCTGGCTCAACTGAAGGTTGCGGGGCGTGATGACTGCATGTCCTTCGGGCGTCTGCCCCAAGAACCTATTGCTTGATTTCGTCCCTGTAGACGGAATTCTGGTGCCATTTTGTTGGGGATATTGTTGTTGATTATAAGGCATTTAGCAGTCGTACCCAGTTAGTCACGTCTTCACTATATTCTTTACCAGAGAAATTTTTGGACTGCATAGTTGCCCGGTAGCACTGTCTAGGTACTTTTGTAGCTCATGTATGGATTTAGTGTTATTGTTTATGTTACACCGTCGTTGACCGGACCGAATTGATCAGTCTCCGTTGGCATATGGGCTCCTATGCGGATGCCCCGATACGGCCTGTCTTTTAACTATGTTTAGTAATGATGGGCATTGACTAGCAGTGAAATCCAGGATGCGCATTTCGTCCCATTTGGGACTCGTCGGCCGGATGTACATGCTTCCCAGTGAGTAATGTTGATCCCACTGGGAATCGGACTCGGGAGCGATCGCTTCAAACACCAGCGCGACGAGCCCCAAATAGGAAAGATATGCAGACTAACTGTACTCGAGATTTCCTCAACAGTCTTCAAGCAGCCGCCGTATTTGCTGGAACTACTTCAGGAAGAGCCCATGGCAATTTTCCGGTGGCAGGGAAAGACGTCTCCAAATAACTGTAATGAATTTTTTTGCTTTGCACGAGTCTGTCCGAACGCTAGTCGAGCTTCGGAACGTCCCACAGATGTTTACGCAGTTGGGATTCAGAAACGTACTGGCATCGTGTAAATGCAGCAGTGCGAACGCTTCCGGACAACGAGATCACCGTCAGGCAAGGTAAGCGCGTTTTCAATGTCAAAATAAAAGATTTCTCCACCCACATAACAAACAGCAGCGAAGTCCGCGGAACTCAATAAGAAGTGGGAACATTGAGTGGTATCCACTACCTAATTACCCGGGTCATCTCAGCGGTTTCTTAAGTGTCATCAATTCATGTGGTCACTTAGCGATGCATACGACATATGCGACTACTAATTAATGATCTACGAGGATAACTTATACATTTCAAACTTCCTCAAAGAGCTGTTTGGGCTGTGGAAAAACTGGAAGCTGGGTTTGTAAGGGTCACGATTCCAAAGTAACCTGACTTAGGAGCCTCACTCGCTCTTTTGGTAGATGCCTTCAATAGGGTGGAGGGGAGCTAAGATTAGTCAGCTAGCTGAAGACAGTTGGCTCCCAGTGATCCCGCATTTTCTTACTCTCGTTGAAGTGCAATCACTATCCTATACGATGCCCCATATATTAGGCCCTCTAACGTCTAAACGAGACTTTATTTGCTTTGAACTTTCGTCCATGACGCTAAGGAAACTTTCATAATCCATCGCCCCCTGATTGACGCCACCACAAAAGACACAGAATCAAGTCTTAAACCACTAAGCAAAGTGAGGAATAAATTCCTAGATTTTTAACGCACAAAGCATATACAACCTGTGATACAGCAAGGAAATTCGAGGTAGTGAGAAGCACGCATGTAGAAAACGAACCCCTTATTGAAGTTTTGTTTTCTTTCCTCTGCCTACTGCCTTGCCTTTTTCTCTCATTGTAGGCGAACCATTCGGCTTTGAACGCCGTCTTGGTTATAAATGAAGTCAAATGCCTAAAAAAATAAACCTGAGCCTAAAATGCCCGCCATCAGACATTGTCAGTCCATCCACAACAACAAAGTATAATGTAGAGGAACGAATAATGCTATTCAAACTGCAACTTTATAACCGTTAAGACCTAGGATTCATTAAGAAAATGAACAGGAAAGTGTTACACTTACCAACCACAGGTTTGTTATGGCCGGGAAAAATGGCGAACAAAAGTTTTTGAACGTCCTGGTATTGAAAGAAAACGGACAATAAGCCCAAAGTAGTAGTATCCAGTAATACTATCGGTATCTGACGATGACTGGCGCAGCAGTAGATGAAGCATATGGTCATGGACCCAATGAAAAACAGCAAATGACAAACCACATGCATATATTCATGCCGAAGCTTTTCATCGTTACTAGTAGGCAAAATACGACAAACGTAACGGTGGAAGTATTAGCTTCAAGCTTCACTTTTCTCCAGGAAATCCTCGTGGTGCATGAATGCAAACCCTGTTTTCGTTAGTGCGGAGATAATACTTCTAGTCATCCAGTGTCAATCTGTGGGCACATGTTCTGCTGACACCCCACGTTTTATTAACACGGAACACAACCATCCCGGCAATTGAAACTATGTGCCCTAAAGCAACATGTAATCTACACATAAATTTGTAAACACCTACAGTATTATTATGTGCTTGTATAGTCAGGAATGGATGTAAATATCTGCCGTTTGACCAGGAACAACTAATCATATGTTCTTAGCGATAAAGTTCAATCTGTACGCTAACTTTCAAGTGGTGCTTGATTATATCAGTTTGCAAGTTTCCCGTTGTCTGACTCCTCATACCATATATTTGCAGTAGTATTTTAATCTATCCTATGCTTTTGGCGTATAGTATGCCTCCAACGTTTCATTATGTCAAGTGCAGCCGTTACGTGTTTTCTTATCCAATTACTAGGTCTCGATTCGAACGTACTTTTAAATAGGATGACCTAAGGCTAGGCGTTCTAATCTTCACTGCTGTGGAGGGAAGGAGAAAAGACTCAGCCACTTCAGTGCTCTTTTTGTGACAGAAGCATTGATGCACCGCATGTCCCAGATCCTGATGGATCTGTATGCCCCGCTGTTTCGTCAGGAAGGAATACATCAAGCTGGTCATGAGCAACAACATTAAGGCCACAGGAAAGAACAGATAATATCGGGAAAATGGTGACAGAAATCCACAGAATGGTTGGGAGTTTCTACCCACTAGCATGTCCTCGTGGGAAACATGAGACTCCAGATGAAGACCATATAGTGGAAAGCTTAATAGGCCGCCTGGGAGTGGAGGTAGTGAAGAGCTTGTCATCCGCTCGACAGGCCGCTGCACATAACACCCAATATCTTACCCCTGGATGTGGCTAAGGAAAGGGTATTAACCTCATGCGGCATGATAGGAACACACTGTGACTTTTGGCGCCTCCGCAGAAAGTTAACACAGTCCAATTACTTCATGGCTTTCCGGTTCACTACTCCATTTCGTGCTTGGAGATTCAATAACCTTCGGGAACATAAAAGACTACGCAGAAACTTTAAAAATATTATGATCACACAGGGTGGAACCACGAGTCAACGAAGTAAATGAAGAGGAAGTAGACCGGTCAGCCCATTACCTTCAAACTTGGAGGCTACTGCATGCATGATCGGAGCACCAAGAAGTGTTGATGCAGCCAGTAATTGTGTTAAACGTACCTCTTCCCTGACACAGCAGTCCTAACCAGGTCTAGAAGCAAGTGAGGGGGAAGCTTCGGTTGCCACAAAGAATATCTCACGGATAAGATCCCTCCAGTCCACAAAACCCAAGGGGCAGGTTCTTACCAAACTCCCTCTTTTAGAAATGAATACTG